AGCACATCAGAGCCTCTTTAAAAAAAAAAAAAAAAGCACACTAGGAAGGTTGAAAGAAGGAAAGAGAGAAAGTGGAAAACAAGGTAAGACGGAAGGAAGAAGAGAGAGATGAAAAGAGACCAAAAAGAGAGGAAGAGAAGGAAGCACGGGAATAGCGTAAGAGGGACAAGGGACGCACAAAGGAAAAGGGAGGAAGGGAAAGAGAAAACAAATGAACAAATAAAAACGGGGGAGGGAAGGAGAGGAGGGAGCAGGGAGGAGTGTGGAGGGGAGCAGGGAGGAGTGTGGAGGGGAGCAGGGAGGAGTGTGGAGAGAGGAGGGACGAGGGAAGGAGAAGTGGTCAAGAGGGGAAGCAAATGATGGAAGGTGAGATGAAAACAAGGAGAGAAGAGGGGAAGGAAGAGGTAATGAAAAGTGGGGTCGGACAGGGGCAAAGGGAGTGAGGATCAAGCTTGTGAGGGAAGGAGGGAGCAAGGGAGGCAGGGAAGCAGGCAGGCAGACAGAGATGGAGGTAGCAATTGAGGAAGGCAACTGAGGAACAAGGGAGAGAGGAAAGAAAGATGGAGGGCAGGGGACGGGAGGCAGGGAGGACAGCAGGAGGCAGGAGGCAGGAGGCAGGGAGGCAGGGAGGGCAGAGGGTGGAAGGCAGAGAGGGTGGCAGGGAGGGAGGCAGGGAGCAACGCGGCGGAAGAGAGAGATGGAACAAGGGAAGGATGCAGTGCGGGAGTACATGCACCAAAGGAGAGAGGAAGGAGGGAAGGGGAGAAGGTGAGGGATGCAGCAAGGGAGACAGGGACAGAGGGAAAGAAGGAGAAGGGTCGAAAGGGAACACAAGGAACAGAGGGAGCAAGGGATCAAGAGAGCAAGGAGTCAAGGAGCCAGGGTGAGAGGCAGGCAGGGAGGAGGCAGTAGGGGAGGCAGCAGCCGAGGCAGCAAGGGAGGCATCATCTGAATATGTTATTGGCCTCAGTCCAGTACCAAGCTCTGATGTCAGGCTCAGGAACTGGACCTTTCCTCCTAATTTTAATTGTCACCAGGGCCTACAGCACCGAGGAATCGTTCTAGCCCTACTGCCGCAGTTTTCCACGAAACCTGGTTCCGCACCTGCTCCCAACTCCGGACCTGGACCAAACAAACTCCTACCCAACTTCATTCGGTCCTAAAAATGATGTCAAGTCTTGCAAGATTTCAGATCCCATCTCCACAAAGCACAGCTGCCAATCCTTCGGGATGCCACCATGACTCGGGCATTAGCATGTTGCCTCACAATCCCATGTGAAACATTGGGTCATGAGAACCACTACACCCTCAGAGGGTGGGGGGGGGGGGGGGGGAGAGAGAGAGAGAGAGAGAGAGAGAGAGAGAGAGAGAGAGAGAGAGAGAGAGAGAGAGAGAGAGATGTGTGGGGGAGGAGGAGCAGCAAGGGCTCCCAACGCAAATGTTAAGTGTGTTGTGAGCAGAGTAGAGCTGGTATACTAGATGCGTGCAGATGAATATGATATTGACGACGATTCTTGGGAAAATTAGGATTTGGCAAGAGAGATGAGACAGCACCTTCGATATGGTTCGACGCTCATTTTTCATTCCATGAAGTGATTGGGCAAGGACATGAGAGAATCAGCCTTCAGCCTGCACAATGCAAAACAACAGGCATTCCAGAACTCTTAAAAAAGGGCAGAAATGGATAAGGAAACGGAGGAATATCTCCACCTCACTTCTCCATGGGAGGCAAAAAAGGGGACTGACACCACACCACTAACTGTTCCCACCCCTCCACAAAGCAAAAAGCTTGGTGAAATGACCAACAAGAACCAGCAACTTTTTTTTTTCTTCAGAAAAACAGGTCCTTATGGGCCTGGCTCCATATCCATTCTGGGGAGCATCAGTCCGGTTCCTATTCCACCAGCAAGTCAGAAATTACAATACGAGACACCCTCACGCTTCCTTCCGTCTGGCCGAAGGACCCCTGAACAGCATTGATTGCTCCAGCATTGCGGAGGATTGACTGTCAGCCTGCCATAGATCTACCGTTCCTCTCAGGTCCAGAGCTATCTAAACCTGTCGTACTTATCGTGAGAGCAAGAAAGGGCTCGACAATGAAGGCAGCCACCATTACAGAACCTGACTATACCGCGCCTTTGCTACAGGATTCACATAACCTGTTGTGACCCTCGTCCACCTGTAGGCTGGAACCTCCTCCAACCGGCTTCTGTTTTTAATTCTCTGTTGCTGGTCCACATCATCCCGCAGGGTTCTGCCATTTGCAAAGAATCTCTGCCTGTATCAATGATCTTGTCTCCAACCATACCTTCTCTCTTGATGTTGAGAGGCCTTCAATGGTTCTGCTGCACCTTTCCTTCTCTATAGCCCATAGTGTAACCTTTCTGATCATGCCGAACCATATCTTCTCCGTCTTGCGGAAATGAACCAGGATGTTAGTCCAAAGGAGGAGTTGGATGGGGTGTTCGGGGAGGGGGGTCGGGAAGAGGGAGTCCCAGAGGTCCGAAGCCCTAGCCCAGTATTCAGTCGCTTCCCTGCACCGTATTAAGCAGTGTGTCATACATTCTGGTTCATTATCCGAACAAATCACACATAGCTCCGAGCTGTTTGGGTCATTCCTACTTCTCCTGATGTGCAACCATTGGTTGACCGGTAGCACCACGTATGAGATGAGCCACTGAAGGCTTCTGATTTTGACTGGACGAATTGATTTGAACTTTTTCCACGGTATTTGAGAAATCTGATTAGCATCCTGGCCGATTAACTTCCTCCATCTGTTCTTGATTGTTAAATCAGGGTCCTTGGTTTTAAGGAGGCGATTGTACCCTAGTTTGACTGTATATTCGTGGATGTTGACATTTGTTTTCAGATTCTTACTCCTGTCGGGTGTCCAGACTCCAGGCCCATTCTGCCGGGTCAAATTCCAGGTCTTGAATCGCTATGTCCATCCTGAAGATCATTTTTGGCCACGACCCCAGCACTCTTATTTTTCTGAGAACAAATGGACTTAGAACTCTTCTTTCCACCTCTTTGTTCAGAATGGATGAGAAGCCTTGTGTTGATGAGGTAATTGGGAACGAGATGAATACTGCCAGGGTATCCGGTTCCCGTTGTTTGTGGGAGAATTGATAAGCCCTAGAGGGGGCTAGTTCTTGTATCATCACCCCCCATTTCCCCGGTTTCCAAGTTTGGTCTTTGCACAGCGGTTCCTTCCAGTCATCTGGGATGCATTTGATGATGGATTGCAGATTTTCATATCGTTTGTGACAGCCCTTTAGCTGAGGGGCGAGTTCCTGTTCTGTCAACCAATCCTTTTTCTCCTCGTCCCATAGATGGCTCACTTTCCAGACTCCATGCTTAATCCAAGATAGCCATCTCTGCCCTCTAGGCTTGAAGGACACTGGGTGATCACTTTCATCTCTCACCCAAGGATTACCAAATAAAGATTGCCTCAGGACCTCCTCTTTGGACTTTGGTCTGCCCACCTTCTTTGGCATGATTTCCCACCATATCCGTAGCAGTGCAGTCCAGTAAGGTGTGGGGGGCCTGGCTTCGTTAGGACCAGGTCCTCTCCATTGGTTTCTGCGGCCTGTGTTTGGACTCCATTCCTTGTTCATAACCCAAAACAGACCGGACATGTTCATTGGTGTGGTTGTTGGGGTTAAGCTCCTGATACTGTCAAGGGCTAGTTTGTTCCACACAAGACCCGGTCTGGTAAGGAGTTTAACAATCCATTTAACTTGTAGAGCTTTTGTTTGTTGTTTGGGGTCAATGATGCCAAGTCCTCCTCTGGCTGGTTTCCTTGTGATGTAGTGCCAGGCTATCTTTGGTACACAGTTCTCCTTGTTGGGGTCACCCGACCACAAGTATGCTCTTGCTTTGCGGTTGAGGTCCTTGATTGTGTGATCCGGCACCGTCCAGATTGAAGTTATGTACAACATCTTGAGAAAACTGATGTATTGATAGTCAGTGCCCGACCTAACAGGGATGTGAAAGTGTTCCCCCACCTGCCCAGTTTGTTGATTTGACTAGCGAGTATGTTTTGGGCCATTTGGGGGGCGAAGCCATCTTTCGTCATCAGGATGCCTAGATATCTTGTAGGTGTTTCTGGTTTCTCCCATGTCATCGCCGCCTCCGGGCCCTGATGTTGGGGAACTTCCTCTTCAGACAACCACCATCCAATCGTTTTTTTCCAGTTGATTTTCATTTCTGAAGCCAATCTGAAGGGCTCCATGGCTCGTACCAACGCACTAAAAGATGAATCCGAGGCTCAGATGAGGACAGTCAGGTCATCAGCGAACATGATCACTGTAGGGAAGTGAAGGTGGTGGGGTGTGCCTACATTTACTTCTGGTAGCCTGTGGATGGACGAGTCCTTGCGCAGGAAAGACGCTATAGCCTCCATTACAAAGAGGAAGATTGGTGGTGCGAGCGGATCGCCTTGGCGGACTGACCGTGATATTGGATAGCAGTCAGATATCAGGCCGTTGATTTGGACACAACCTATAGCGTCATTGTATAAAATACGAACCCACTTCCTAAAACTTGGACCTACTCCCATTTTTTCCATGCTTGCATTGAGGAACGCCCGGTTGACCTGATCATAGACCTTTTCGAAATTAAAAAAAAAAAGATTGTTGTATTAATCCTTTTCTCTCTCACTTTCTTGGTTGTTTCATTAAGGGTCAGTATGTCGTCAATTACGTGTCTTCCCGGGATGAATCCTGTTTGGTCTATGTGGAAACACTTGTCAGCCAGATCTAGGATTCGAAATGCTAAAGCTTTGGCTAAGATCTTGTAAGGAAGTGTAAGTAGGGAAATTGGTATGTAATTTCTGATATCTTCCTTGTCCCCTTTCTTGTACAAAAATGTAACCACGCTACTGCTTAACAAGGGCCCTAGTCCCCCTTTTAGCCAGCTATCATTATAGAAATTTAATAGGTCTCCCCCCAGGAGCGGCCAGAATTTTTCCCAGAATTCTTTAGTCATACCATCAATGCCTGGTGTCTTGTTGTTGTTCATACTTTGGACTGCAAAATGCAGCTCCTCCAAAGTGATAGGTTTATCTAGAGAGTCTGCTTGCTCTTGTGAGATCGTTCTATCCAGGTACTGTAGCATTTTAGTCGTTGCTTCTCTAATGCTTGGGGGTGTGGGTGTTAGGGTCTTCGTTTGGTAGAGCTCTTCATAGAAATCTTTTGCTATGTTTAACATTCCCCTGCTGTCTGTTATTGTTTCCGGCTTGTCTGAGAGCGTCTTTAGGCCCTCAATTGAGCTGGCCCTTGAGTTTGCTTTTATTCTCGCAAAAAATGTTTCGACATTGACTCACTAAGCTCATATTCGATCATTCTGGCTCTAATTTGCAGGCCCTTGAGCTCCCACCATCTCCACAGAGTCAGTTCCTCCCTCGCTTTCTCGAAGATTCCTGTATAGAGCGGGGATGATGACTGGTCGATCAGATTTGTCTCTGCTATCTTTAAAGTTGTTTCTAAAGCTTGTTTTTTCTGCCTTCTATCGTTTGCTAGTTTCCTTGAGATTTTGGCTACCGTTTGTGAAAGAGAGAGGTAGCTTTCTTGGAACCACTCCCACCTATCCTGATTGGGTAAAAACCCTTCCTTCAGGTTGCACCAGCATTCTTGGACTCCCATCTGGAAAGTCTGGCTGAATAAGATGGAGTGGTTAAGTTCGTGAAAATTTGAACCCTTTTGGATGTGTTGCTCGAAGTTAAGGATGAGCTCAACAGGTTTATGGTCTAGGCCGGGGTACGGTGCGAGGGCTAAAATTTCTGCACTCTTGGCTGCACCCATTAAGGTCTCCGATAGTCGGAAGTAGTTGATGAATGAGAAGGCAGTGTGGTGGGCATGATTCTTTTTTACCAGCGAGAAAGCTCTTACCTCAGGGTGAAGAGTACGGTATGGTTCCACCCAGTTATGGTCTACCATCAGCTTTTGAATTGGGCAGGCTTTCTTCCCTTTGGATTGTCGGTCGTCATGTCTACTTTGGAGAGCTCTTGTATTGCATTGTTGTTGTTTGGCCTGGTCCCCTTAAGCGGGTCCCTACCCCTCGTTGTTGCCGCCAGTAAGGCCTACCAAGGTGGACCTTATTTTGTGTTGTTGCTGGTCAGCCAAGCTCATTCACATGCGGCCCCTATCGTTGTGTTACTGTTGTTGGCTGGGCCGCTCAGGAAGGCCATCTACATCCCCCAGATTACGGTTGCAGGCAAATCAAGCTGGCTCATCTACGCCCCCAAAGTGGGGCAAGCTCGTTGAGGAGTTCAGATATGACTTCTCATGACATCAAACGTTCATTATCAGAATCAACGAGTCCCTCACCTCGAGGCACACATTGGTAGTTACCTGGTGGGTAAAAAGGGTTGAGAAGGGAGTGAAAGGCGCAACCTACATTTTTCGCAGGGAGAGCTATTGGAAGGCAAACTGGTTGCGCGTGGTATTCCCTCACATCCCTTCAGCACCTGGTGGAGCCCTCTTTGACTTTGAGGGTTGTAACCTGAACCCACTTAGCAAGAGCGGGAGAATGACTAAGAGGCGCAGAGATCAACAACTAAGGAGCGAGGTGGCTAAATCAAGGCTTCCCATGACTACGTGTTTACAGAGATCAAAGACTAATGAGTCTGTCTTGGACCCTTGCAGCGTGAGTGACGTTGACTTCAACGATTACATTGACTGGGACACTGACAGTGACTGATCTCATCTATGATTTGTGTTGGGTTCGCTTGCATTGAGGACGATGACACTGGGTACCGGGCAGAGGCGGCGACAGAGAGCAATACTACGACGGATTGCATATCTTCTGGCACATTACCTACTTGAGGGAGATTGATTCCACTTCTATAGGTCCGGCGAGCCTAAATCAGCGGAGGTTGCAGACCCCTCCACAGGGGAGCCATAAAAATAAAAAACAAAGACACATTGAAATCATTCAATTTCTCAATGTTCTTAACTCCTCCTGCACTGCGCCTTGCATGTACAAGGCTCGCCACGTATTGTCAAACATAGCTGCCCGGTAAACCGTCGGCAGAGAGGGAGAAGAGGACAAGAAACGAGGGGCTGTGACAAACTGTTCCATCGGAGTTTCACCGACTCATCAGGAGGCTGAACCCTCAACAGTCTGCAGAATCCCCTAACTGATTACACTGTAAGTGATAATCCACCTTAACCGCAGTTGTGGTTGAGCATCGGAGAAGAGGACAAGAAACGAGGGGCTGTGACAAACTGTTCCATCGGAGTTTCACCGACTCATCAGGAGGCTGAACCCTCAACAGTCTGCAGAATCCCCTAACTGATTACACTGTAAGTGATAATCCACCTTAACCCCAGTTGTGGTTGAGCATCAACGACTGCCCGACAACTGATATCT